CGAATGCTACCAGAGGGGGCTTCGAATTCAAACCATGCGCAAATCTCCGAACCACTTTTTTGTGAACAGTGCCTTTAAGCAAAACTGAAATATTGCTATGTAGGTCAAAGAACAAAATACATACGAAGGCAGTGCGAGCTCTGGAAAACTCGTCCAACCTTGGACTTCATTGCCACTCCTACTTCATACAGTAGACATTCGCTAATCTATTATGCTGCTACTTGCAGAAATACCTTTAAAGGCGAAGATCTACTAGTGATTTGAAGAAGTCCCCTATCTACGTAACATTTGTAAGGGTATTTACTTGTTTACAGGAAGTAATTGAAGCAGTTTTGGAGCACAACAAGATCGTGAAGGATCCTCTGTCACGTATCGCACCTCAGCTTAGAAAGAAGCAGTTATGTGAGTTTTGCGGTACCGAAGGCCTCCGGTAGTTTACAGAACGCTCAAGAATTGTGCCCCGTTACAGACAGAATGCGCCTACTGGGATTGGCAAACGGACAGCCAACGATGACCACAACGGAACTGCCAACGACTCAAACGACTGCTGAAGGTACTTCTCTTATGACATCCCGTCATGGGAAATCTTTTCAGGGTGCCTTCATACAATATTTTCATTTTCTATATTTTTAGAAACTATATCTGGTGTTTGTGTGCTTAACGTGAATTTCAGCATTAGCCAAGAGGCATCGGAAGGGTGGCAAACTGGGCCAAGCTGAAATAGACGGCCTCTAACTGAAAAAGCCAACGCAATGGACGTAGGCTATGAGAATGGGCGGTGATACCTTCAAGACTTTATGAGTAGATTGAAGGAACGCTCTAAAGACTGGGAGACAATCGAATACGATGTTCTGGAGGAGAAGGATATCGGGAGGGACCAGCCGAAGCTCCTAGTTGAGAAGATCTTCGAGATACTAGAAGGGAACGCCTAGGGCGGGTGACTATAGAATAATGTCATCGCAACATGGAGGTTTGATCTGCTTCAACACTTTTAGCTTCCAACCGAGGGGCCGAACTACTACTGTGGGGGGCTGAACTTGTAAGAGAGGTCAGGATGTCACAGTCTTTTGGTGGAGGTCAGGAAAGTTCGGAGCCTCCATCAAAATGAAGGGGGTGCGCACGTCACTTCTGCCTTGGTCAGAGATGTTTCTATCATTTGGAAAAAACAATGGTGGCTGGTAAGATAACGATTACCATCGATATTGATTGCAGTTATTGATTTTTGTGCAGGTGACTGAGAGCAATAATAAATTGCAGCGTTAAGCGGTAAAAATATAAAATTTGGAACTTCATCGATCTATAATTTTCCACTGAAATTTGTGATCGCACCCAGGATGATCAGACTGGTACAAATAGGGATTGTCAATAACGGAAGGGACTTTTGAAAAGGTAAACAAAAACAAAGTAACTGATTATTGCCTTTTTCAGCAACTACAACTACGACTTATGCCACGCGGACTTATCGAACAGAGCCAACGCAGACTGTAGTACCAACTAGGTGAGCTCATTTCATTTTCAATCTAACTAGCCAGGCTAGTAGACTGCCTATGCTTTTTGCAAGAAAAGAAACTCCCGAGTAGAAAGCTTTACCTATAGGTAGGTGCACAAAACTATTTCCTGTTGATAAGAAATAAAATTGTAAGAAAAAAACTGACCTACTTGGTAACGGAGACCACTCAACGTTAACGTTAGATGTTGAATGGGACCTGACCTGGGAGGGTGGCATACTCAAAAAACTGGCTCACTTGAATACGCCATGAACTCCATTGCCATCCTGAAATCAATATATCGATTGGGACAGCGAATATTGCCCATACGTTGTCGGATATGGTAACCAGGTGCTAATACAGTAGAAATCGTATCTCTGTAAATGAATAGAGTTATTAGCTCAGCAACGATCAAATCATTTCCGGGATGGGCCATCTATACCTGATGTTGGAAGGTCATTACCGTGAGACTTACAGTGCACATTTGACTTTTGGACCCTTACTTCGATAGCCTATTCATTTGCCTTTATCCTCCCAAATGAGATCGTTACTGATTGATCGATTCCTGGATCCAATCCAGGGCATGGGCTGTTATATTTGCCACTGCTATACACTCACTGTAGCCCTCCCACTCTCTATTCCTTCCCTTCCTACCTTCTTCCTTATGAGTGCCCTTCCGAAGCCCTTGATTAGTCCTTGATATATCTCCCTAAATGATTTTTGTGCCTGATATGATAAATTACTACTGTCCTTTACGCTATTGCGGCTATTGTTATCTCGGCCAAATGCTGCTCCCTCGCCGCTTCTGTCGTCATACTCTCGTACAACCATTTTTTCACTGTTCTATTATTATTATTCTTGATTTTTATTTGCTTTATTTCTGATATGTTAAAATTTACTTAGTCTGACCGGATTTGACATAAACCATTAACATTGAAGGGCACGACCTTGGCTCACTTATCGACCACGTAGAACATCGATGTCGACAAAATGGCGTAGTGTGCATTTCGACAAATATACTACATCGGTAAGTGGTATATCTGACATAAAAACAGCCTATCGCTATGCAGAATGCGCCATAGAGTATGGATTCTGCACGCGTAAAATCAATATCTATTCTTAACCTATGATTAGAGCACCGTCTGGGAATCTATCTCATTATGACCACATTTGACAACTCTCTTGCTTGGACAGTAACTAATTTCAGATGCCAATGACAACAACAACAGAAGCTAGCGGTCTTGAGGCTTCAGGGGAGATCGTAACGACGACTCCATTCCCTACTGAGGTGGCTGCTGTCGAGACTCCAACGCAAACGACCGCTTCACATCGAACGACTGAAATCGTCTTCTTTACGCACACCCGCCCATCTACGTTCAGGGATCCCGCATGTCGTGATATGCGCTATTCGTGTGCTTTCTGGTTGCAGCACAACCCAGCCGTTTGTACGGAACAGGCATCGTTCATGAAAGGCCAATGTGCGTACACCTGCAAATTCTGTATCTCAGAAATGGACATCGCGGACGCGGCAGCTCTCGCCGCAAACGCGGCTGCGGAAGAATCGCGGCGAAGACGTCATTTATAGTANCCCACACATTCCTCATTATCATCACTGATCCACTGACGGGTACCAGTGCGTTTAACAGTATATGTATGTCATCGCCGATGTTTGTGCATAAATATGATGTTAGTGCTAGTTGTCCGTATGTAGTATAGCGGAGTATATTTATAAAATTGCATTTGTATTCAAGAGTACTTGCTCAAATCCAGCCCTATCTTTCAACTCTTGTACCCCATCCAGTAAAAGCTTAACAATGTTTCTGAATTCAGGTCCATTCCAGCTATTCTTTACTTACCAGCCGCTTTTCGATGTTTTTAATTACTTGCTATTATTTTCTAATAAAATTGTTGTCACTGACTGATCTTTCCATTAAGAATAAATATTTGAAAGCTTGAATAGTAATGAGTTATTCACATTTAAAAATTTGAATGCGCCTAGCCCTTCGCATAGCTGCGGTATCATATAGATGATTGAAGGCACAGTTCACGATAAAGTCCGGCTTCTGAAATCTTCTGCAGAAATGAAACTATTGCCCAAGTACATGGGGCACTAGGCCGAAAAATGACCCAGACAGGGCGTAATAAAGGCTCCAAATCCGTTTAACCGACGCAGACGTGGAAGTGGCCGTGTTATACCGGCCTTGTTATTACTGCATTATTCTCTGGACGAGACGAATAGTACGCTTAAATGAGAGACACCCAGACGGCCAACTCGTAAAGCCCCCTTTCTTGCTACTTTTTTGGACTCTACGTTTTGTAAAATCCAACAATTTTTGCCCTTGCTCGCCCCCTCACCCTTGCACTATTCTGCACCATGCAGGCTTCCCTTATTTCACCTAAAACAAATACCTCAAAACTGTCGTGTACTGTGCCTTTAAGTGGGCATAATGAGAACAGAGAAAGAGAAATGAAGAGCTAAATAAAACTCTGAGTTCTTGTTTGACCGAGTCTTGAAAACGACCCTATGAGATCCAATTAGGACGAACATAAGCTGATACTGTACTGATATAAATGATAAAAAAAATATTTCCAGCTCAGTTACATACAAAAAACGACGTGCGATTTCAGGTGCTCCTTGAGTGCAGAAGTAAACAAATATAAACAATACACTCAAATGGCCCGGGTGCCGACGGGCTCTCTTCCTTATCGTGTTTAAATCGGCCCACTGTTTCCACCCTACACCTCTTCATATTTGGACGCTCCGGTAGAGTAGAGCAGAACTTATTTATTTCCAGCCTAGAACACGCACCAACATCTGAATCACTTTGTGCGTGCCCAGACCGCATTGAACGAGGTCATGCTTGAGTTCATTGCGTTCACGAAACTCTGTTCATTCCCCATTATTTCAACTTGATTTCGTATTTTTACCTGAACTGCGCTCATTCACACACGTTGCGCTCTCCTCCATCCATCTCCCCCGCGTCTCCCACTGGCTGAACTCAGATCAGTCCTTTCTGGCACCTGTAACCTCAACACATTTGAACGTCCCAGCTTCAGATTACCGATTGTCACGCAAGCCCTGCCCCCTGGGCAAATGTGGTCCTGCTATCTATCATTAATGTTCCCATCCTGCCTCCTGTACTGCTATCGAACGTAACGCTCTAGGTCTACGGGAACAGAAGTTATAAATTCCTGGTCAAATCAAATCAAACACATACACCGACAGAAATACACACACTCACAAAGGAAGAGACACACTTAGCGCGTCGTATTTATTAGGATAAATAAGTATTACGGTGCGGAAAATTGTTGAAATCAAGCCCAAAATGGGCAGCAGTTGTAATTAGGATCTCGAACATTACCAACAGCTCACGTATATCTAGAACTTTTCTATAACAACCACGATAAAGGATGTTACATGCAGAAATCGGAATCTATCATTGTATCACACCATGATAGTGTATGTCTAAAGACTCGAGGATGTCTTATTCATCAGTAACTACACGGCCGGCTCTGTGGTAGGATGGAAGTCCAGAGAAGCAAAAAATTCGAGAACGTAGGTTTTACAAAGTACTGCAGAATTTGTCGAGGGCTACTTTGAGAAGTGATCATAGATTTGTCGCCAGGTGGGTATAGAGTGCCCTACACTTTGATTCACCAAAGTCCTCCCCACGAAAGACTACAACATGGGAGTTCTGTGAAGGTATTCAGTACTGAATCGAATAACAAAAACGACTGAGAGAAGGACAAGTGTAAACTACCACGAGATCTGCTCCAACCTCGGAAGTAAGTCTACAGAGCTAGCAAGCCTTACATGTGAACCCGGATGCAGTGTTACCCTCCGCCAAATTCGAGATAGAGCTCAGACTTCCGACAACAAAAGTAGTGAATAACTCAACATTGAGACGTTACAAGTGTTAATTCGACATTAACTGAGGGAACGTTCCTAAGAGGAGCGACTCAGGGGTTGGTGGGGAAAACTCATCACCCGTGAGTAATTGGAATGTGCGAGCCACGGCGGTCTCAGTATCCCATTCAGTCCAGAGGCAACAGACAGCAACAAAAAGTTGGGTCTGCCGGGCTCGAGCTAGTGACAGTCCTGGTGCATTATCTGTCGGTGTCGTAGATAGTTGATCAGCTCGAAGAGGCTTCAGCAACGTCTACATTCGTCCCTGGAAACCTATTCGCTCGGGAAACACGGAGTATTTTATCCACAACTTTCGTGAACACTGATTATCGGGCTAGGACAGTCCTGGTGTTAGCTTGAAGCTTTGAGGGATCCAATCAGCAACTACCTTGGTCCAACGGTCTACAAGTGACTGCGGAAAAGCAAACCGATTGGTTTACCGATGGATCGGTGCGGTTGTGGTGTCACAAAGATAGGCGCGGGGCTGGCTGTTCTTTGCCTTCATTACTACTCCCTTGATGTTCTTAAATGCCCTTCACTCAGCGCGTTTCCTTCTGCTCGCCTTCGATGCTACCCGGAGCATAAGAGTTGAGTGCACCGATGAGTGGAAAAGGATCGCCAGAAACCAGTCCTTTTTCAACGAACATCGCCTTCGTTAGCTTCACTTGCACGCCGATCCTATCAAAATTTTGAAGGTATAGTCCTGCGGACCTTATTTTATACCGACGATGATAGGAAGACGTTACTGTAAAAAGGTGGTTTCTGTTGGGCATTCTCCTCGAGTAGAGAGTGGGAGTACCTTTGTTGCCCGATGATTGGAGTACAGCCTCCTGTAGCCGTGATCCATCGTTTGAACCCCCTGTGGAACCCTAGCTGCTCGTACGACTGCCCTTTAACCAGTGTCAATCTTATTAAGGATGCAAACGTTCGGATGCTTAATACCGATAGCAGGCAGATTGAGGATAGTCGCTAGACCATCTTCGCACTCCTCCTCCCGCATGACGAGCTTACAAGTTCTCCAGAGAAAGGATACCTCGAGTTTTACTAGGAAAAGCTTGGTGAATCGGACCGGAATCCGGCGAAATTCGGCGAAAGTCAGATGTTTTGGTGGAAGCATGGCCAAAAAAAAATCGGGGGAGGGGGAGGGGTGAAAATGTAAGAGGCACGCAGGCATTCGGGGGCTATAAGCACTCCATTTTAAACCAATTTCGAAGTTTACTCAACAACTACAGAAAAACTACAGAAACCTCTTCAGTCTTTAACATTCACTGAATGACAGTTTTTTCAGAAAGTGGACGCCGACGTGAATTTTAAGCATTTCCAAGACTGGTCGGAAAGGATGATCGAGAAGGTCTGATTCACGACTTTTTTCACAAAGTGTTAATTAGTGTTAGTGGAATAGTCGAGGATGTTGAAAATCAAACCCGAAGAATCAGAAAAACGGACGAACAGTACTTACTCTACCAAATGGGAGTAGCTGTGATTCTCGAAGTACTAAGCTTCTTGGGACCAAATGGTTTTCCAGAGCTGGATGCGCTTTCAAACGATAACTTGAGAATATCCCAATTCGCATAGGTATTAGGTTGAGCCATAAGTATTTGGTCAAAGTGATAGTGATGATTTCTAGAGATCATAACTCGGGGAAGAGTTGACGAAAATGGACGAGCTAGGCACCATGAGATAGAGTATCAAAAGCTCTTCCAAATACATACTAACGAACACACCTAACCATCTCTTGCGCTTGAGCGTGAGGGGAGAAAAAAACCATGTCGGCGCAAAAATCCATGTCATACTGCTTCAAAGCATGAGGCACCCATTGACCGAGCGTTCGCACCTTGCCGATTGACTTCAATCCCCGAATAACTGTGGACTGGCTCCTCAGGAGTGACTGCCAGTTCACGAGTAGTTTGATACGGAGCGGCTTCCACCTAGCTCCGGAGCACCTCCAAATCCAACTCCATTGAGCGTCCCGGACGGTCTTCATTTTCGATGGAAAGGTCGTCCGACGTGAATTTCGTGTGCCACTTGTGAGTTGTGCATCTAGCAGAAGCGCAAATCTTGTAAACTTCCCTAATACGTCTATCGATCTCCGCCGGTTCTTGGCCAGTTAAAAAAAGAAATAGGATGGTGTTGCGGAGGTGGAGTTGCGACGGCTTGAATTCATGGGGCATTGTTGCAGGAAAGGAAGCAGTTAGGTGTATTCGTTAGCAGGTATTTTGAAAAGCTTCCCGTACTCTATCTAACAATGCCACGCGCGTCCACTTTCGTCTCCTCTTTCCCGAGTTATGATCTCTAGAAGTCATCGCTATCATTTTGTCCGAGGACTTATGACACGACCTAATACATACTAAGAGTTCTGGAGAAACGGGATCAAACCAGAAGAGTAGTGACCCCGAATAAGCCGCCAGTAAATAGAAATTTGATAGGCTACTCGAAACACGGGGTGTGCCTTTTCCGCTTTATTTCAAGCATTGTATAAGGAAATGTCGAGAGCAGTAAGCGTCTGGACGAGTTTTCCGCCATTGTTGCTAATGAAAGGACCTCGAGTGATGGTCCGAATCCAGATGGTGATCTTGGAGGGGACAGGAGAGGGGAAATTTCAAGCTTGGAGCTTTCAAAGAGCCGTCTTGACCGTTAAGACCATCGTCTTCTTGAGCTCTCTCTTTCCCCCTGCATGT